GGCTATACTGACCTTCCTCTGACTGGCACACAAGGACGCGTCCCGTCTCCCGACGTTTTCCCAGGCATATCATCTGCTACATTAAGCCCCAACTATGCGGCACCCACTTAAAATAGCCGGTAGACACTTTCGGCGGTAGTTGTATATATTCTGAATGGTAAGAATATTGTCAAATTCATCCACCACAAGATGCCGCACCTCACATGACGGCGTTCCATATTTCAGAAGGGACTTGCATGTGCCCAACTCGTCTTCGGTTAGGCGTCGATTAACTGGAAGCCCATCGTACAGAAACTTTGACAGTTTCTAGTTGTGTTCCAGAAAATAAGAGGTCACTGCCAGTTGGTTCCTTTGCCTCCGTAGACAAAACCGCACTGGAGAGCCGGTGCTTCGCGTACTTTTTTATTAGAAGATACCCTCGGCTTACTAGCTTCTTCGGATTCCACGGCTTTCCGTTGGTCTTGGAGGGCGCCTGCTGCATTTGTAGTACACCCATTCGTAACGCAAAATAGTGTTGGTGCTTCGATTACTGGATGAACGCACAAATATCACAAAGTCACCCTTCATGTATTCATTTAAAATCTTCTCAAATGTCGTGAAGGATGAAAACGATACACCCACAAGTTTCTCAACGAAAGCCACTTCCGCAGCCATAGCAGACGAAGTTCAAAGCCGAATGTGCGCCAATAATTTTCAAAAGAGATCGATTAAAACAAATTGCAAAAAATGACGGCAGATGAGGGTGGTTTTCAGTCCACGCTTATATGAAGTGCAATGCAACATTTTGATGTTAAAGTTTTTATATCGCCCGCAGGGGTTTTACAGAAAAATGCATTGTGCGTCTATCCGCTGGTCCGCTCGTTGTAAAAATGCATTGTGCGTCTATCCGCTGGTCACTTTCGCTCGTTGTGACTCCTGCCATTTACTCAACCTCCCAAGGTCACCCTTGGCCAGCAATGATTTTCAGTTTTAGTTTACGCCAGCTGGCTGTCATTGAGCTAGGCGGGCCTTGTATCCTTTGGTCCCAACAAGTTGGGAAAGAAGCCTGTTATTATTAGTTCATCGGATATTCCTCACTTCTTATGACATTATCCTTTATTCGTGCAATCCGAACCCACACAAACCCCCCAGTCATGCTTCATTCTGACAGTAAACATATGATCACACCAGGCAGTATGCCACCCACAAGGAGTGAACATGATTATTATTACTGACCTCATGCGGTTCGTTGAATCATCAATTGTGTTGAATCAAGTGAACCAATTGTAGCCCCCAAAGTTACTCCTCTGAACCTAATTTCCGGGAACGTGGGTTCTGACGCTAACATGCTGATATTAGGCCTGAAAGTGCTCTGCATAAGTGAGGAGATGCAACATCATCACAATTAGAACCCGCCGTTCTCACCTGGTAGAACTCTGTGCATAGATATTTTACAAGCGAATAAACTCGAAATATTCCACTGATAAAACATTGTCAAGCAGTAGAGTAACATGGAATTACCAACAGAAGCGCACTTCTAAATCAGCACACAGCCCTGAGCCAAGTAAACGCTTATTAATAAACTCACCGCAAACCCAGCAGGATTCAGTGCCTAAAATTGTGGTAGTCAACATTCAGAGCCAAAACGGTAACCCAGTCAGTCTTCTCTACGTGAGTATTCCCGGTAATTTATCTCTCACAGCACTGGAAACCGCGACCTTCGCTTCTTTGCTAAAAACGACCTGAACCAAGGGAAAAACATTGCACGCTATAATCTGTGTATCAAGCTCGAGTGAAGTGACCGACGAAGAACTTATAATCACTGTTATCCGTGTGTGTCAAGTTATGGTGGATGAATGGGTCCCAGCCGTTATTTGGTCTTCAAAGTACTTTCTACACCTCCATCCTTCTCCGTTTTACCACGCGTTCTGTCTTGGATATAGCAAACGTTAATCTTTGTAATACTTCTCGAGGGTGATAGTTCCGAAGTCAGCTATTGAATTGGTGCTTCTGATACCGTTTTTATTAACTCTATATCCTGAATATTTGATACCCTTTAATATTATGCGACGAACCGCATCTGTATCGATTTTTAGACCGCGTAGGATTATGTATCGCGGCTACCGTGAATACAGATTATTGAACGAACACGAAAATCATAAACCAGCAGGTTGTGTTCGGGTCACCAGTTGTGTTTTTTCTTGAGGCCCCTCCAAACATTGTGAGTTGTGTTTCTAGGATTTTTATGGAGATTCTAACCTTCCATACAAAATCGATTATTCACACTCTGAGAGATTGAAAGAAGCTCTAGGATGCATTTCACAGCTTACGACCAGCTCAGCTCGTGTTCGCTTTGTATCCGTTTTGCAATCCATCGAAGCTAACATATAACGATGGTTTCGAGGGTTAGGAGCACAGGTTATGTTACTTGATAGTGCAAATGAGCTAGTGAAGCCCTACGGCGATGGTGGAATGGCCAATAACAATGAGACCTTCAATATTTCTTTCTTAGAAGTCGCACTTTAAAAGTGTTTCCAACTCGTTCATCAGTCTTAGTGGTGCCTGCTGTCACCAATGAGATGTACCACAGTTTAAGGCTTTTAGTCGTGTGACGCAAAGCCCATTCGCTCCACCAACTGCAGTATGTTTACAGCGGACAGATCTTTGCTAAATCCTCCGTCAGTGAGATTTAGCCAAGGATATTGCCGGAACCGTTTTGGGCTGTGTTCCGAGAGCAGTCAGCTTCCGGCCAACCCTGCGCCTTGAAGAACGCCGACCAGATTTACTGCAGCAGCCCCAACAACACGACAGAGAGCCTCGCTCTCTTAACAACCAGCCGAGGTCGTCCGAACGGTGGACGTCCTTGCAACGAGCACCTCTAATTCAAGATGGGACAAACGAAGAGATCTCCGTCTCACGTCAATGCTAAGGCTGCTCATGTCCGACTTCTCAGAGAGTCCGGTGACGAAATAGCCCTCCCGGTCTCTAATTTTGATTTCCAGGTGGCAAACGCTGCACAAATAAACGGATGACAACATTTGCTCTCCTTCATTCTCAAAGCCGGGAGCCCCTTAAACTCGATTTTTCGATTCACTGGCCTAAAATTTTCTATCACCAAACCGTGTCCGATGGTTAATGGCTGCACCATCACCATGTCCTGGGATTGGGCATGCACACCTGCCGTGGTCCAAATCTCACAAAGGTTGTGACCACCCGAGCATGTCTCAATCAGCATGCTCCCTGCAAGTTGGAGCATGAACCTACTGTTATTATTATTTCATCAAATATTGCCCACTTATAATGACATTGTCCCCTTTATCGCGCACCCTTTATTCCCCGCAAATCCCCCCAGCCATGCTCTATTCTGACTGTAAACGTATGATCATGCCGGACCCACAAGTTGAGAATAAAGATCGTTGTTATGAAAGTCTTCATCTGGCCTCAGGCGCTTCCACGGGGTGTTCGTTCCATTCTCTTGAACCTTCCATTGGATCTTATCATCACGGTGTCTTTTACTTTGTAATCCTCACCAAGTGAGTTATTTTCCGTTAAGTTCACCTTCCTTCTGTGTGTTACGTGAACCTCTTCTCCTAGGAACTTTTACACACAACTCCGCTCGGGCAGCAACACTAATGAGCCTTTCCAGGTTTACTGCACTCTGTGAGTCTGAGTTTCTTACTGCCCTTTATTCGTGCGGCACTTTCCCCACTTCACCACTTACACTTTTTTGTGACTCTGGCTATACGTCCAACAGCCCAAGGCCACGAAGCCACAGTGACGGTTTCAGGCTTTGGTTCAGGTTGGTCGGTCATATCGTGACAGTTTTGCAGCCTCTCAAGATCCATACTATTGTTCCACATTTTCTGCAGTTCGAAGATTTTTTATCACGTACCCGGCAAGAAGCCTTTTTTATGTCCTCTCTTATTGTTTTTACCCGCTACCTTCAAATCTTAACGATGGTATCTTGTCTCATCTGATATGCCCACATGAGAAGAGACCAGCCCCTGTTATTTTGGTTTCCTACCCATGCCGCCTCATGCGTGACCGAGTATTCCGGATAATGCCCACTGTTTATGTCACCTTCCCTTTTCCACGAAATTTCCGGTACCCACTAACCCCGCCAGTCATCCTCTTGTCCTGACTGCAACATTATGATCATGCCTGAATGTATGCCACCCACTGACTGGAAATAAGTATTATTATTAGTATAACCTTTGGTGCATGCGAACATGAGCTCTCTGGTGCCCATGAAGTATTGAGTAAACGGGCATCTAGTGTCGGAGTGGCATATTAAAATGTAAACGACCCATATGAGTGTAACTTCATTCTATTTCAGTATTTTGCAGTTACTTATTCGGCGTTTTGACGACCGTAATTATTTTCATTGGTGCTTATTTTCAACAAACAATTACATGCAGTGAGATACTATAAAACCGCTCAGCGTTTGCTACCCAGCGGTCAGGATTCTATCCATTAGTCCCTCAGTAACGGCTAAAACTTGCAAAATATGCTCCAGTCCCTGAGAAAGCATAGCAGCATGGAAGCCGAACTATCACGCCAAGGTACTAACACGACCTATCAAGGGGACTTGAAATGAACTTCATCACAATCCACTCAGTTAGTATTTAGGCGATCACCCTTACCACAACGTCCCCCACAGGGTTGTCCACGAACCAAAGTATGCTAGTGCAGTAATGGCCCTAAACTGCGATACTCGATGTCATGGCACACCCGCAACTACTCCATCCCTATACTTGACTGTCTCTCCTCGCGCACTCGCCTCTTTTTTTGCAACTACGAGCGAATTCTCCATCTAACCTCAGACATCTCTGCAAAGCGTCCGTTCTATTGTGCTGAACGTGTTTGGTGGAATTTCAGCTTGTGTTGTTCAAAAAGTGACTAACTTTGTTTAAGACTGACGCTCCTTCCGTGTGGTAGCATTGGCTTACTCTTCCAGAGAACATTCACACTCGACTCCGCTTTAACAGCGGCATAAGTAAGCCTAAGCAGTTTAACTGTACACCGTGATTCTGAGATTCCAGGTACCACTTATCCACGTTGCGACTCCCTCCATTTCATCATTTACGTTCACGCTTTTGGTGACCTCGAATGGGTCGAGAAGCACGCGCTGCGTCCTTGATAGCACAGGCTACCCTTGCTGGGCGCACGGGTGTACTTTCTTAGTGCACAGGTGGCGGTAGCCATAATACAAATCAGAATGTGAATGTGCATTAATAGAAGTTTTTAACATGGTTGTGACACGTATAAAAAGGAATACAATGCGAAGTGGGTGCAAGTCAAAAAGGAACTTATCGTATGTGAGAGTTCCTTGGTGAAAATCCGGACGGCGAGAACGTGTTTTCTCCGCAGTTTGGCTGCTACACGTGTTCCATGATTGTCCGTGAACTTGTGGAGGGGTTGACGTCCTGCTCCCTGCGCGCGCGCGAGTCTGTGTGTCTTGACTGGGTTCGGTTTGCCTTTATGTAGGTCCCAGTCCGTGTATGTGGGCGCGTCGGCAAATGAGTGGTTGCTACGCTGACTAGGCGGTGCAGACAGTCGATGTCCGGTGTATCAGCTTAATGCGACGTGTTTGTGCGTATGTGAAACTAGACAAGCCTCGCGATCCAGTGAGCGATTGAGTTGAACAGTCAAGTATATGGGTGACTGGATCGCTACAGCTTCATTCAGTAAAATCAGAGTGAAATCGTATGTTTTTAACAAGTTCGACTTTCCGCCCTGTGTTCAAGCTGCTTGTGGAACCTTTCTACAGGCAGCGTCTGTAGCTTTAGTACCAGAGTCAGAGTTTCATCTAGTTCTTGTAGGGTCTAATCAGATATCCACTCATGGGGAAAAAGAAGACGACTTGGACAGACAGGAACCAATGCAGACGAGCAAGTGGTTTATGAAAGCCGTAAACATGCTCATGCAGTGCAGCCTCATGGACTAACGGAAGGTAGAGACTGAGAAGTTAACCCTCAGAAAATTTGGGTGGCATAATATCTGGTATAGTCATGATGGTACATTCAGAACAAAAGGGTGACTGGTGGGATTTTTGGGGACACGAGATTGCGTGGAGGAGGGGCAGTCACGTAAACAGTGGGAATCATCCAACACAGATGCGATCATGATTAAGCTGGCACCACTTAGATGCGATTGACGTCGAGGGGTGAGGAGCATTTATTAGGGCTTTTCCTATATTTCGGGGAACATGTCAAGTTTGAGCAAGATCAGCCAGCTGCGGTTTGAAGATAGAGCACAATGGCACAACGGAGAAAAGGAAACAAAGGCATTTCGACCGGACCATGAGAAGAAACCTGCGAATTCCGAAAAATTAGGAGCCGAAACAATGGATCTGATGTGGAAGCATTTGTGGGAATACAGTCGGTAAACCTAAACGGAAAAAGAATTAATTGCGGAGGCTCCTCGCTTTGGATGATGAAGTGGAGGGAGTCACAAAATAGATAAATGGTAAATAGATTTCCAGAATCACGGTGTACAGTAAGACTACATATACTTGTTGGTACCTCTGTTAGAGCTGACTCGGTTGTAAAAGCTCCCTGGGGGAGCAAGTTAGTGCCACCAAGCGGGGGAAAAGTAAACCTTGAAGAAAATGATTGACTTTGTGAAAAACACTGATTGGCTTTGTTTGTCTGCAGCGAAGTGTGTCAGATGGAGTGGCATATACGCGCTTTTTATGGCTGTTACTTACAAGACGCATGAGTTGCTCTGCAAAATATGTGCCAGAGGGAGCTATTTCTTTCAGCATGTGAAAAATTATGGCAACTGGCCCAAGCTGGCATCCGTGGCGGCATATTTCGTTCGACCAATGTTGGCCGCACTGACACTAGAGAAAATACAAAGGTTACGGATTCTCCCAAAAAAGTAATCCACCTTTATTTGTTTTCAAATTAAATTTATGTTCATGAGTTTCATGAGGTACGCAATGCTAATTATTTCCAATAAGGGCGGCCCAGCTCTACAGTTTCCAAACATTTCAAAATAGGATGTCTGTAATGGGCAAATGGTATCTTCGAGCGACGCGCAATATTAGAACCTCCCAGAAGGAAAAATCAAGTAAGAATTGGGTTTTTCACATAAATTCACAAAACATACAAATTTTGACAGTAGATATTCGTCCACAAAAATGGTCCACTTGAACAACAGAAGTACGAACTTAATGTGTAAACAGGTTCACGTGTGAAACAGTGATACGTGCACAAGGCCAGCTACAAATGACTGGATGACTTCAAGGCCAAAATGAGTGAAATGATGAGGACAAGCAAACGCCAGTTCATATACATGGACTAAACACGAAAGCGGGTCGGGGATTACAAATAGCGGCAGAAGAAACGTGAGGAATTTTGAATGTCAAAGTAATTAACACCTGTTTGCGAACGAAACCAAGAGGCTTAATTTTTTCATGCAATTCGATCTTTTTCACTTTGTAAAGCTTGAATTGGAATTCACGTGTGCTCTATTATTAAGCGGAATGTGTCCCGACTTGGTGGGTCATCATAAATATACACATTTTCCAAACCTTCTCTGCCTGGCTACATACTTCCATCCTTTCTGGCCGGGGACACACTACAAATCGCTTCATCGGTTTTATGCAGATAACTACAAACTTACAAGCTAAGATGATTTCCGCCAACCTGACCTCGTCTGCACGAATGCCTTCTGCGGCGGTAGAGCATTTTTATGTAAATGTAGTTATTTGTTGCGCCTTTTGAAGATTATGCAGACGAGGAAAACGAAATTATTGCTCATGTACTCTATGAAAGCCATTCGAAATGCACTGAAGGAGAATAAATGTGGACAGGCTAACTTATCTACAAAATCATCCACCGCCTTCACGGACAAAACGTACGTAGCCGTGACAGCCAACAAAAATTTGAACCCCGCGCCCATAGTCGACCTGGAGTGCATCTAAATAGATTCCAAGAAACTGTAACCTCATGAGGAGAGCTTAAGCGTTATAATAATCACCATCAAATGTTAAATTTTTCGTTCCAGAGTTTTCCTTCTTTGAACCATGTTTTGAGAGGGATTTCGGGTGTGTATATAAGCCTTGGCGATTTGGGATAGCCCAGCACTCTAAACCCCATATTTATGCATGAATTTGAGAGTTGTGCACTCGTGTGGACAGGCCTTTACAGAATTAACTGTGTGGGTGAAAAAGTGTGCGTTTTTGTTGGTGTTCCCCTCAGCTTTGACTAAAGCATGCAGGCGATGCTTACCATAGATTTGTCCCCTGATATAGATCAGCCAATCCCATAACAATCCCTAAACAAGCGGATGAATATACTCGTGGTAGTCATAAGAACGAAGAAGGTAGCGAACAAAGCTTGTTTTCTGTGATTGTTCATCTTGGCTAATACATCACAAATTTATATAGTAGCAGAGATCACGTGAAAAAGGTTAAGATCGGGGCTACATACACTTTAGAGAAATAGAAATCAAAGGAATGCGGGTTATATGAGGGAAAGGTCAATGGGTCACGGAATCAGGTAAGTGACGTCAATGTCGGACGGACTTGTGGGACCGGATGTTTCGTAGGCCAGTTCAAGTTCAGAGGTCTCACAAGTTTCTTCTGGATGCAAAGTTGCGGATCCAGCAGTCGGATTCCAATTGCTTCTGCGATCGATAGTAGTTTGGATCATACCAGTCGTGATCGTTTCAGAGGTATATGGTATATGATGGTGAAGGCTTGCTCCTTGTCTATGACATGACAGGTTTCGGCCAAATGTGATGCAATCGCGCTTTGGCCTGGTTTCTTCCCACTAACACTCAGAGATACGGGATTGTGTTCTCGCTTTCTGTCCGAAAAAGGCCCTGTCGTAAGACCAACGTACGATGCTCGGTGCGAGCATACGAATGAGCACACACAAAAGCTGGTGGTGATATTAGCCAATGAGCGACCTAGAGGGGACCCCATCGCGACCCGTCCCTCTGTTAATAAATTTGATTGTTGAATGTAAACTGAACACTGCAGGTACAAAGCAGCAGGAGTTCCTTAAGATCCGAGTTGGAAATTCCAATATCCTTACCGTTGCATTCCACGCTAATATCAAGGTTACTATCGAATCAGATCAGAACGGACAGTTAAGCTTCATCGATGTCAATGTTAAAAAGAAGACTGACGGGACCAATGCAGATATGCTCGCCCGACTACTCAAAAGAGGAACTAACGTTCTTGGGACGCACAGTCCTGCAGAACGGATGTCCTGAAAGGTTCGTACTCAAGACTATGAAGCCGATAGGCCCAAACCTACACAATGATCTGTTGGAAAGAAGCCCGTATACACGAGGCTTTCATATAAAGGTGACTCGGTTGCGGAACTTATCACCAGAAGGCTTAGAAACTCCGTTGATACGACAAACTTGGTCGCTAATCTATGTTTGAGCTTCAACTCCAGCCCCACTATCAACTTCTGCTTGAGGGACAAATTGCCACGTTCTACCACCAGCTTTTGTGTGTGCTCATTCGTGTGCTCGCACCGAGCATCGTACGTTGGTCTTACGACAGGGCCTTTTTCGGACAGAAAGCGAGAACACAATCCCGTATCTCTGAGTGTTAGTGGGAAGAAACCAGGCCAAAGCGCGATTGCATCACATTTGGCCGAAACCTGTCATGTCATAAACAAGAAGCAAGCCTTCACCATCATACACCATATACCTCTGAAACTATCACGACTGGTATGATCCAAACTACTACGATCGCAGAAAGCAATTGGAATCCGACTGCTGGATCCGCAACTTTGCATCCAGAAGAAACTTGTGAGACCTCTGAACTTGAACTGGCCTACGAAACATCCGGTCCCACAAGTCCGTCCGACATTGACGTCACTTACCTGATTCCGTGACCCATTGACCTTTCCCTCATATAACCCGCATTCCTTTGATTTCTATTTCTCTAAAGTGTATGTAGCCCCGATCTTAACCTTTTTCACGTGATCTCTGCTACTATATAAATTTGTGATGTATTAGCCAAGATGAACAATCACAGAAAACAAGCTGTGTTCGCTACCTTCTTCGTTCTCAATCCCTAAACACTTTGGAATTGTCTGCTTTCCTAGATATGTACGTTGATGAGATGTACCGTCTCAAAAATCCATGCATCCAAAACGAATTCTTAGTTTGCCACCATAGAAGGGCAGGGAGCCAGCTCAGAAGATTTACTGTTCGGTTACCGAATGAAAAAGTGTCCAGAAAATTTACATTATTCCCTAATGATGGTGCTTTAGTTAATTGCCTCATTGGGGTATAAAAACAATTTTGTCGGGTATTTCCTTTAAATCAGACTTTATTGAAAGTGAAGAAATGGGTCCATATGTAGAGCACTATATGAATGAGCAACTTGCGTTGTATCAACTCCCGGGAATCTTAGCGATCAATTCACTACGCAGTCTGCAGTACCTTCACAGGTGAACTACAGCTGAGAGGCATACTTAAAGTGCAAGCTCGCAACGGGAATTAGCTTGGGCAAAACGTTTCTACTGGCAAAAGAGAGTGAAGTAGTAGTATATTTTTTAAAGGAACTCAATGGAAAATAGCACAGGTCTGAACACTAAAAACCACATTTTCGTACCCAAATAATGGGTGTACGCGTTCTTATAACATCTACAATGTGGCAAAATTCGTATTTCTTTCTTGATGAATCAAAGAAAACAATCGACAGTCCATGTGGTTACACGGTCACTTGACCTAATTCGCATCCGGTTGTTCTGGAAACGATATGAAGTTCTCTCTCAATATCTGTTCAAGTTGCGCCACCCGGTCCTGAGATGTCTTCAGGGAAGCGCGGAGCACTTTGCTTGACTGCTCTTGGCCCGTGGTGACGGAAATAACAATGGCTGAAACACAAAAGTGAACGGGGAAGCAAAAACGATTGAATTCTACGAGCCGTGAACATCGAAATGAACTAACCTGTTGTCGTAAATATGTGAATGGATCGTAGGTGTCACGTTTTACCGCGTTGTCAAACATATTCACCGAAATCCATTGACTCATTCAGATAGATTGCCTTTGTTTCAATAACAGTGGAAGAAAGTAAACAACTACGTCAAAGTTTAGTCTCTGTGGGAGCCCGGCTCACCTCAGAAGAAACTTACTGATTTGTCCAAAATACGTTGACCTGCGGAAATTCTTCATTTAAGGAATGAGGAACAGTAGTCTCTCTAGCGCCGCGCGTTAGACGTACATCCTAAATTTACCTAAAACCGTATTTTGAAGGAAGGAATCCTCAACAAAACCTTTTAGCATCTGATGGTATATATTCGAACTCTTAAACCCGCAGTTTCGTTAGATGTTTAAACGAACTCGAAGTTCACTATGAGCGCGGAATGCGTATTTGGAAGGCTCCTGGTTGCCTTGCATAGAGGCTCTGTGAAACCGATTGGAATTTTTGTGGAACACTGTAGTGAACGGGAGGTTTGCTTTCCGAAAAAAACAGTGTTGTGCCGAAGTTCACCGAAGAAACTCATCTAATTTGTAACCTTGGGGTTACGCATGCAAATGTTATTCACGCATTCTTCTGGGTGGAATGTGCAGTGGACGTTCTTCGGATGATAACTCATTTGTAAAGGACAATGTGGGATACCAAAATATTCAAAACTGCAGTTTCATGCTTTATCTCTCGCAAACCGGTAACAAAATGCCAACGGTTTAGGGCCCTGAAATTTCGCTCACCTAAACAAAATGTCATGAGCGATATATCATCGAAAGTTGCGAACGAATTGGACTAACTTCCTGTAAAATTCACATCTTCAAAAACCCCATAGTTCCGGCGAGAATAATTTAGGTATGCTTCGAGTGAGTGGCCTCTCTGGTCGTCTTCGAACTGGATCGAAGATAAGATGCTGTGGTTTCTTTCAGTATTGGCACAATGGAATTGAAATTTCGACAGCTATGACGTGCCCCTGATGAATTAAAGCAATCGAGTAGTTGAGCTAAGAGTGCCAGTCCAAAATTTTGAGCCCCACTTAGGCATTCCGGGGTCTCAGCGATGCTGTGAAATTATTCAACTAGACTTTTTCGCCAGAGGTATGATTGCCCCAGTGGACAATGAAATTTAGTGAGCTGCAAAAATATGTGGGTGGATTGCGATGGTTTTTGGCTTGAGCACATATGCAGCAAAATACAACATTTCAGCTAAAGATTGGTACTTCATACTTAGAGAGTTCGCACCTGAGAGCATTGTGCGGCTAATAAGCGCCTGTTGTGGTTCACAAAATGAACCAAATGAAAGAGACTACCCGCTATTGGTAGAACCTGAGTAATCTCCCAAATAAAAAATGTCTCTCACTTTCAGCTTCGTGACGAGAAATCACCATTCATGTTGTCAAATAATAGCATCGCGAGGTCTGATGGCCGCTACATCTAGTATGATCAAAAATAATAATACGGCCGGGCAGCTACCAATCGCACCAAGTTCGAGTGCTCACATGTTGTCAGGTACCTCAACTTCGTCTCTGTAGTGATCTTATTAAAAATTGTCGTTTTTAGTACATAGTGACGACAGTTATGAGCTCCTTGTATAACAAGCATTACTAGGTCTCATCCAGACGCAAATATCAGCGTTTCCGCTGTTTGAAATCCGTCGCAAAAATCTGTTAGAGACAAAATGAGCGTCCCAGTGGCTTCTCCTGGATGTTTAAATAAGAAAAATGTCTTTGTTTTGCAGCCTTCTCGATACCTTCCTTCTTTACAACGTGAACTGTAACGAAGCCCCTCATCCTTCCGATATCGTTCTGTTTCTATCGAGCTCTTGGATCCCGCTTATAATGGTGCCAGACAGGGTTTGTTTGGAAAAATTCAGTCGTGAAGAGCTGTGAAGTCCAACCGTATCGTATCCGGCCACCTGTGTGATCGTATTTCCCATGTTTTTTAGTTTTTCTCCATCCCTCATAGTAACTAGCCGGCCGCAGGAGAAACAGTTTACAGTGAATTCGGTTTCGACATGTGATTCCACTGATCTCAGCTGAGTCCCTTTTTATATGGTATTCGGATCCAGTTTGATTGAGTTAGGCCTCCTGTCAAAACCAGACTTGTGTGCAAATGAGATTATTTGTTGGGATCTGTCCAATTCGGGTTCAAAAGGGACTGAGGTTGATGGAAACTCAAAGACGGTACCTACCTGATGAGCTCAACAAGGCTCAAACCCGTCTTGGGCTGTCGAAGAGTTTTCAGCAACCCCGTAAATAGTGTGTTACGTCTAAAATCAAACTTGTCTATTCGGGTGGATAAACTAGTTTTTGAGTTAGGCGTAACATAGCTCATTGCCGATCCAAATATTTGTCAAGCAGCATTTTAGTAACATTCCGTTTCATCAAATCTGCGCAGCGTCTCACATAAAGCGCCATATTAACGCACAGATGCACATGAAATAGTTGTACACAAGCTGAGAAGAAAGAATATGCGCGGGAATTTTCGAGTTTACAGCCTAATCGAAAAGTTGAGAATTAGCGGCGAAGTAAATCGAGTAATATCACTGTACTTTGAATACATCGGAAGAAAATATCGCCCTCTTCGTAATAGACACCATTTACTGCACCTAGCCAGTTTTTCACTACTCAAAGATCTTCCTTGGAAATCAGAAACAGTTCACTGGTCCTGTGGCAGTTGAATACATTTCGAACCGAAAGTGCAACACAAAGTCTCTTAAGGTAATCTTTCATATTAACGGTTCAGAACTGAATAATTACGCTTCCAATGCTAACATGTAGACGAGAACCTTACTGAGCTGTCGTAATTTCAGTATCCACCCAAAAAGTCTCTATCGCTACAGGATGTATCTTGTCTTAAGGTAGTGCAAACTTCGGAGGCATCCTTTTGATAGGTAAACTAGGTATCGCTGCAATCCTTTCACAGGGAGAAGTGAATCTAGGAAGAAATAGGTGGATACAAAAACAAAAGCGAAACGTTGCCCAGCAAAAAATCCACCGATTGTTAACCAAACCCCTCTGAAAGAAGATAGAATGCTTTCATAAAGGAAGCTACTCACAAGGTTGCTGAAATTCCGTCGACAGCCCACGACCGGTTTTGCTCTTCTTGGGGCTCATCAGGTAGGTGCAGTCCCGAGTTTCCGTCAACCGTATGAATTTACTTGAACTCAGATTGCACTGTTTTTGAGAAATACATTCATTTGTAAATCAATTTGGTTTTCACGGGAGACTCAATTGAATCTCTCGTTTATGATGTCCTCCAGCTGAATGTGCTGCACACAGGCCGCCTCATGATTCAGTTGGCACGATGTTCGAGATATCGCAGTATATTTTCATAAAGGAAACTACTCACAAGGTTGCTGAAAACTCTTCGACAGCCCACGACCGGTTTCGCAGCACATTTAGTTGTAGAATAGCATAAACGAGAGATTCAGTTGAGTCTCTCGTGAAAACCAAATTCATTTGCAAATGAGTGTATTTCTTGAATAAAGACTACTTCTTCAACTGATTTATCAAGAATTAGAGCTTTACTGCATCAATCTTTAGAAACCAAATTCAAACTGTTCCCTTCGCAAGCCTAATAAGCACCCTGTAGCCCCGATTTATTGTTCTTTGTTGCAAAACCGTTGGGGTGAATGAATGATGAATGATGAATTAGAATGAAACCACTGCATATTTATTGATCGAAATGGAAAAAATAACATATTACTCTCCATCTACGAGGCAGTCTGGGATATTAAAGAGGTATTTCCTCGGGTTAGTGTTTCCGCTTCAGAAGAGATGCCTTTCATCTGAGAGGACTAAACGCGTAAAACAGGGACCTGATGGGAATTTAGTCGTACCTAACTGACTGTTCAAGTGGCAGTAGTTTTCTTGTCCCTCTAACGGGACTAAGTGTTTTGCTTTTTTCTGATTTGCATTTGATAAGAACTTAGTGTGAGCGATTTTGTCACATTGTTTGTCACGAGATAACCCGGTTTCAGTTACCCTTAGGGCATTTCGAATAAATTTGACTTCCTTCTTACAATACGGAGAAATTCCAACTGAAGGCAGTCTGGAAAACATGAGTATGGTTCTTGTTTCATGTTGAAACATACCGAATGTCCCCGGGGGATGAGTAACCTACCTTTAATGCGTAGGTACATTTCATATCACGTAGTTGGAGGCAAGTGCACTTCTGAGTTCGGAAGTGTATGGAAGAAACGTGGAATTCTTAGTGAAAGCCTACGACTAATTCCATTTGCATTAGCTACCGATCTAACACTTCAAAAGAGATTGACCAGAATTAATCGAAAAACAGTCGAAATTTCACTGTCGGCTATATAAAACGGACCTATGGTTTTCAACAGGATTATAGAAGCCTTGGCAACAAACAGTGCAGTGCTTTATGTTTAGGAATCGTGTTCTTAGAGTAAGGTAGCACATACACAAGGGTAAAACAATGATTCGAGTCTCGTGCGATTGATGACCGCATTCCGCATAAATTACAGAAATATACTCCATTGTCATGGCACAGTGATGACTAATTACCGACAACACGGAGAAATATAGTAACCGGTACACGACTTACTGGAATGGTGCGGCTGGACTATTCTTCGGGTATGGGGTCACGTAACTCATAGGATATCTTTCATTCTGTAAGTGAAGCCAAACTATTCTACAAAGCCAAGAGGCATTATACTGCTATTTCATCCTTAATGGGAATCATCAGTAGTGTGTATCTCAAGAAAATCCGGAGAGTCTTGAACCCATTAATTAGTTCGAGCGGCCACGAGCGGCTGATCAGCAGTGTGACTAACTCGGACTTGCACAGAATATAGCACCACCCATCTTTCTCGGCTCTTCAGATTAGACTGGCTTCACTTACCGGACAAAGTCTCCACTAAAAGTTCCCAAATCTCCCCACACTA